TCTAAGTGGTCTGGAGCAAATTATATCCTGTGTGTGTGTGTGTGTGTGTGTGTAAGAGAGAGATTGATTAATTACAAGGCTACTTAAGAGCGAGAGCAAAGTTTGATATTTCCACATTACTATTCTTGTTCTAGGACACAAAGCTAATGAGTTTCATTCTAAAAGCTTTAGTCTAAACTACAAGTTGCTGGGAAAAAAATGAGAGTCAGAAACCTTTATATAAACATGGTAAATAACTGCTAAATTTTAAAGGCTATTTTAATCCTTTCAAAGTCTGACATTTATTATTTTATTTTCTTAGGAGTCTACCTATAAAGAGCATCGCAATTAATTGGGGACCATGAGAATGAGAAGAGAGGGAGAACTAATTTCACTCCCTGGTCAGTCTGAAGAACAGGGTCAAAGGGGACGGGTAGGAAAGGAGGCAGTGCCCAGGAGAAAAGGAAAAAGAACAATCCCCAGCACAGGAGGAGAGAAAGGGAAACACATCAGGAAGGCGGATGGAGATGCTCAGGCAGCCCCTGGGGCTTGATGAATCTTAGCTCAAACAACAATAGCTAAGGTTGCCGTTCAATGGAAAGGCAGGAGGGTAAGGGTTTTACCTAGCCTTTCCCAGGGAGAACACGTATCCAACAGCTTTGTCATTAGTCCTGTCACTTCTGAGAAAATAATTTAGTTACAGTGTGTGTCCTCTATCCCCCGGCCAACTGATTTTGAGGCTTAACTAATTGTGCCCAATTAAAATGTTGTTAGGTCTTCAGTTCAACTAAACAGAACTGACTAACTAACTAGATAATGCAATCAACTATGAGGAGCCCTAGTGGCACAATGGTTAAAGTGCTTGGGTGCTAACTGAAGGGTGGGCAGAACTGACCTGTTGCCCCATGGGAGAAAGATGTGACAGTCTGCTTCCATAAAGATTTAGAGCCTTGGAAATCCTGAGTCAGTTCTACTCTAGTCCTACAGGGTCGCTGTAAGTCTGAATCAACTCCAAGGCAACTGGTTTGTTTGCTTGTTTGTTGGTAATCAGCTATAATAAGTGTAAATGAGCTAATGAAAGTTAGAAAAAGAAAAACTGATTTTTACTTTATCTTTCAGATAAAACTGACCTTTTAAATAAACTAAGCTGAATAGCTAGGCATGAAATGGCATTCATTCCCCTTTACACCATAGCAACATTTTAGAAAGCTAAGAATATCTGGTGATTTAGAGAATTGATGTGGGATCCAGCAAGTACATGTGATTTTAAGGGTCTCTTAGTATCCAGCAAAGCTGAAAAAGTGATCACCAAAGTATGTAGTGATGTGGTGAACATTTGAACATTTATTGAGCACTTAGCATATGCCAAGATGTACTCTAAGTACTCTTGCATACACAATTTGGTTTATTTTACAACAAATCTATAGGTAAATATTTTTATCATCATCAATTTTTAGAATAGGAAACTGAAGCACAGAATCCAAATAACTTTCCCAAAGTCATATAAATAGTAAATGTAGAAGCTGGGATTGATGTCCATGCTATCTGTTCCAGAGTTGCTGTGTACGTTATCTTTGACATATAGTGACATTGAAAGCCACGTGGTTAGCATTCTCATTAGGAAAAGTTCTTGTTGCTTTCAAAAGTGAATGCTTCTCCTGTGAATACTTGGAGATAACTTGTATTTACTGCTGGCATGCATAGGTGTGAATTCTAGAGAGAACCCATGCGTTAACATGAAATTCTGTGATAATTTTAAAACTACAAGTGGTTGGATACTCATGCCTGTCTGTTACTGAGCTATGCTATTGGATGTCAATATCATCAGGGTAATTCAGCATTATGCCAGCCAACGTTTGAAAGCTACAGTCACAAAGAATTTTTTTTTTTAACCCTTGCTTTGTGCTAGGAAGCTCTGGTGGTGTAGTGCCTAAGGCATTTGACTGCTAACCAGAAGGCTGGTGGTTCAAACCCACCAGCCACTCCTCAGAAAGAAGACTGGGCAATCTACTTCCATAGAGATTTGTTGTTGTTTGTTTGTTGTTATGTGCCGTCGAGTCAGCCCCGACTCATAGCGACCCCTCCTTGGGTTTCCGAGGCAGTATCACTACGGAAGTAGGATTGCCCAAAGAGATACCGCCGTGGAAATCCAAGAAGGGATCACTATGAGTGGGACTGACTCTACAGCAGTGAGTTTGGATTGGTTTTTTGTGCTAGCTACTAAGCTAGGCTCTTTCTATGTATCTCATATTAACTTATGTTATTCATCCATCTAAGCTTCTAAGTCCTAAATAGAAAATGGCATTGTTTAAAAGAGCACACACATGTATGCTGAGTTTTATAGTTGTTCAGCAGTTACAAGACAGATGCCCTGAGGTTTTATTTATGTGTGTCATCCTGAAAACATTTTAGTTGCCTATTGACAAGGAATACACACATGGTATATGATATATATTGTACTTAAATTATAAAACCACAGAGACCTTCCAAATGTGAGTTATATTATCCTCTTCCCACCAAAGATGTGTATCTTTATGTGATCTGGGTATAATAAGAGATTGTCCTCCTGTCTTACTTAATTCTCCTAGGCGTCCTTGACACTGTCTTGTACAAAGAGACCATGAATAACTTACTTTTAATTTATTTGTTTGTCTCACTTATGCTTGATTGGAGCAATTGAGAAAAATTACATTCATAAATCTTCTTGCCAAGATAATTAATTATGCACGAAAGACTCCAAGCTGCTTCTGATTTTCATTAATGAAGCAGATTATCTACAAAATAAGATGCTGCTGTAGTTGAAAAGAAAGGTCAGCTGTTCATCTTCAAATGTAAAAAGAAGTGTACAGTTTTACTTCTGAAAAATAATGGTAAATAGTATGCTATGTTTATATTTGTCAGGCTGTCACATCCCAATTAAGATTTTTTTTTTAAAATGTGGTTTTCATTTACTCTTTTTCTTTTTTCCTGCTATTGCTGTAAATCTTACTTAAGTTGCTATCATCCTGGCCACTTAATTTCTTTTCCAAAGGAAAATTAGCTGACCTATTGTAGTTCAGAAGTGTTAGTCCATAAGCACTTAGAATTAAGAAGCACTGGATTCATCTTTAAATGGCCCTTAAGAGAGAACACACATCAGACATCCAGACATTCACATTACTATTCATCAGTAATCTTTGCTCTAATTCACCATTTAATTTTCGTTTTTCTTAAGTGATTAAAATGATTGACAAAGCTAGTATTTTATTAATCCAAGGTTTGACAGCTTCTATGTTCCCTTAAAATAAGTACAGAACTGACAAAAAAAAAATCTTGTCTATCAGATGGCACCATGCTAAGAAGCCCTTTGCCCACCAATGCAGCATGTGCTGCTGTATGCCTCTGGGTTCCATGGAGTTCTACGATCATCACATAGATCATCTGGGAACATGATAGTCACAGGTCCCTCATGCTACTCCTCACCAGTGCAGCAACAAACTTAAAAAGAACTTGCAGAAAAACTTAAAAACTTAAGTAAAGTAGGTATGTTTATACTTCCCTGAATTTATTACTTATCTAGAGGATCGCTAATCTTTTTGCACTGGAACAGTGGTTCTCAACTGGGGCGAGTTGTATCTCCTAAAGGAAATTTAGTGAGTCTGGAGGTATTATTTGGTAACAATGGGGCAGTGTGTTACCAGCATCTTGAGAGTAAAGACCAGGGATACTGTTCAACATCCTACAAGATATGAATGGATTATGAGTCAGCATCAACTCAATGGCAACAGCTATGGTTTTTTGCTTTTTAAAATGTCAATAGTGTCAAGGTTGAGAAACCCTACATTAAAAGGAATAGTTGAAAGGCTAATCTAATTTAAGTCCTGTTCTTCCAGCTTGAAATAAGAACTGGTTTCTTCTGGCTTCATTTTTGGTCCTGGCAGTAAGGTTTTTTTTTTTTTGTTTTTGTTTTTTTTTTGAAATATATATGTCTGTATAAGGTTCTATGGTGGCATAGTGCCTAAGGTATTTGACTGCTTGCTAACCAGAAGGCTGGCAGTTCAAATCCACCAGCTGGTCCATGGAAGGAAGATGGGACAGTCTACTTCTGTAAAGATTTATTGCCTTGGAATCCCAGTGGGGGCCGGTATGAGTTGGAACTGACTCAATGGCAGTGAGTTGGTTAGGTTTATTTGTCTGTCTCTCCACTTTGGCTCACAGCAATAACATAAAATCATGTGAAGGCACCCCTTCCCAGTGCATGCAGACCAGGAAACCTCCCTCCATCTCATTTGCCTTCTTAAAATCCCCATTCACTGAGCTGAGTATGGGATTGGGGCAATTCAAAATATTGCAATAAATATTTCACCAATTTGAGTTGGGGATTTTAGAAGAGAGTTCGGTCTACTCTTACTCTCAAATAAATGGAATCAAAGAATATGTGACAACATATTGGCAATTGATCAGAGCTGTGCCTTGCAGTATGGGTACTGAACTTCACAAGACTGCAAACTCATCATATACACCCTCTAAAAAGAAAAAAAGCTCTCTGACCACTGAGCATCTAGCCAAAGGATAAGGTAATATTTCTTTATTGATACCAGGACAGTCTTCAAAGAGCATTATCTCTGCTCAGGGCTGACAAACTTTTCACTGACATTGGAAGCAACTTAGTACAATTCAGCACCAACATTCTCTCCAACTTTCCAGAAAACTGCAATTAACATTTCAGAATTTCAAAGAAATGTATCTAAAATTAGTGACCTGGAATGAAGTGGGAAAGGGAATCTAATGATAGAACACAGTCATTTTCAAAACTGCCCATGGGTATTCTCTGAAATTAATATTACAATGAAAAGAAATAATAAAAATCTTTGTTTTGCTATTACTTACTTGGGCAAACAATATGTTATTTTGGACCAAAGTCTTCTGAACCAAAGACCAAAGGGTCTGACCACAACTACTGAGAAAATGTTCCAGAGTACAGCTAATCCACGTAATGATCAACACCCATTAGCAGAGACTGGGACATCCCCTTGGATTACCTGGTTTTCTTGCTGGTCCCACTGACACATCCGCATAACTTGCTCCAATTCCTGCCTCTGTCGCTTCAGGTACTTGTCTAGTTGCCGTCTCCTGTCTTGTAGAAGTTCAAGAAGGCTGTCAATCTTTAAGCAGCTGCTATGAGCTCCCTGAATCAACTCAGGATTCACATTAGGCCCATCACATTTGAATTTTTCTATGAATTCAGTGAGTTGTTGACTTTTGTTTAGAAGGGCAAGAGATCTTTCTAAGAGTTCTAGAAGAAAATTAGAAAGGAAAAAGAATTGTGGTATAAGCAAGTTTTTATATAGTAATATTCAGACTCAATAGATTTTAAAAACTCAAAGCTCACTGCTGTCGAGTCAGACCCAACTCATAGCGACCTGGGTTTCTGAGGCAGTATCACTATGGAAGTAGATTGCCCCACTTTCCTTCCAAAGAGTGGTTGGTAGGTTTGAAACGCCAGCCTTCTGGTTAGCAGTCAAATGCCTTAGGCACTAGCTACTCTGGTAGCGACTCCTCAGAAGGAAGGTGGGACAAGCTACTTCCATAGTGATATCACCTGGGAAACCCAAGTAGAGGTCACTATGAGTTGAACTCAAGGCAGTAAGTTTGGTTTTTCGTATTACATGTTCCCCTAGCAAAACTTTCCTCTCATTCACAGCTTAACACAGTTATAGTTTTCCATTTATATGTGGGATTACTTGATTCATATCTGTCTTTACCACTAGTTGTTATTGTTGTTAGGTGCTGTGGAGTCGTTTCCGACTCATAGAGAGCCCATGCACAGCAGAACAAAACACTGCCCGATCCCACGCCAGCTCCATGATCCCTGCTATACTCGAACCAATCATCGCAGCCACCGTGTCAATCCATCTTGTTGAAGGCCTTCCCCTCTTTCGTCGACCCTCCACCAAGCATGACATCCTTCTCCAGGGAATGGTCCCTTCTTACAACATGACAAAAATAGGTGAGACGAAGTCTGGCAATTCTCGCTACCAAGAAGCATTTTGGGCGCACTTCCTCCAGGACAGATCTGTTAGTTCTTTTAACAGTCCATAGTACTTTCAGCATTCTTCACCAGCACCACAACTCAAAAGCATCAACTCTTCTTCAGTCTTCCTTATTCATTGTCCAGCT